CACTACTTCTGGCTCTTATAATCTTTCTACCTCCTCTTCTGAGATGATCCTTGAGCCTTTCCAGGAGGGAGTATTATATATATGTTCCACTCAGAACTGAGCACTGAGTAACAGTAATATAACAGTAGCTTATTTACATCGACCAGTTGTGGGTCTTTATATTAATCTATATGTACTGTAAAAAGAAACTGTTCTGATAAGGGTGGAGAGATGTACTAATCAAGGGTATAAGTGTAAGAACTGAATGGGGAGTTTAATACTACATCCATTTAGCAGTATAATAGTACTAAGTCCTCTGCTAGGGTCCATGGCCTAGGGAGCGATGAGTTTCTGGCTTAGTAAATGGTACCAATCACGAGTTTCATCTTGTGGAGTGGTCTTTAAATACAATAAGAAGTGATTTGTCCCTCCTATAATATTTGTGCCACTATTATACCAGCGAGCATATCTTGCTAGGCCAGTTATTACTATAGTTCACAGGTTCACAGCTGGGTAAGACTATTGACAAAATTTTCACCCCCAGTAACATGCACAGAAACTTCTAGCATTATGAAAGGTAATCAGTAGGGATGAACTTTCCAGGTCAGTATCAGCTTGATTTCTCCATGTCTTATGATTCAAATATGTAGTGTTTTTAGCAATAGGTCTTATTATCAAGTTCTGGGGAATAACCCAAAGCAATGGCATTAGCCTGTAATGTGTGGGGTGGTCCATGGGCCTCTACTAACCAACAACTCAAAGAGAGATTACCTATATCTGGTACTGGGTTTTTTATTGGATAGCTTATGGTGTCTTGGAGTGGCATTTTCTCCTCTTCCTCGTTATAAAATAGTGCCACTTAAATGCCTTTTATATATGCATTTTCAAAGGTCTTTAGTGTTATCTCTTCCCATACTCTTCCCTCTAATTATTAATGTTTGTTGTTATTTCATTCTCCTCTCTGAAACACCGATAGCATTTCTTTTTTCCTGACAGTATTTCTGTAGGTCAGAATGATTCTCTCACATTATCATCAGTTAAATGAGAACAGAAAAGGTTTTCATGTAGCTCAGTAGGTAAAGACACACGCCACGTGTCTTAGTCTGCTTTCTATTCCTGTGATAAAACATTGACGAAAAGCAACTTCAGTGGGAAAAGGTTTATTTGGATTTCATAGCCTGGGTCACAGTCGTTGAGGGAGGCCAAGTCAGGAACTCAAACAGGGCAAGAACGTAGAGGCAGGAGCCTGAAGGAAGGGACCTAGAAACAGGAACTGAAACAGAAAGCCACAGAGAAATGCTGCTTATTGCCTCACACCCACTCATTTGCTTAGTTTGTTTTCTTAATAGACTCCACGATCACCTGCCCAGGGGTGGCACCAACCACGAGGTGCTAGGTCCTCCCCATCAGTTACTAATCAAGAAAATGCCCCACAAACTTGCCTACAAACAGAGATTCCTTTTCTCAGATAGCTCTAGCTGTGCCAAGGTGAAAATAACAACAGCTAAATGCGACACCGTGAAAGGATGGAGCCTGGAGTTTATCCCAAGAACCCACATGAAGGTGGAAAGAACTAACCCCAGAAAGTTGTCAGACTTTGTCCAGTCCTTTGATGCCATGCCATTCACACACACACACACACACACACACACACACACACACACACACACACACACACACACATTTTAAAAAATAAAGAACTCAAGTAGAAGTAACTTGATAGTGTGCTCTAAGGAGTACTGAAATTGGACCTAGTGACTCAGCTTTAAGGGCTGGCCTTCAACTTGCAGTGATCCTCCTGCCTCTGCTTCCTGGGAGCTGGCATTTTAGGCATGTGCCACCATGGTAGACTTGGATCTCTAAAAATGTGAGAGACCTCCAAGTAGTTTGAACTCTGACTATGGCTGTAGATCAAAGTAGGGCTCTTGTCTAGCACAGACCAGGTTCTGGGTTCCATCATAGCTTTACAGATAAAATAATAATAGAAAAAAAAAAGATGGGGTAGTTTGAACGAAAATATCCCCCATAAGTCCAAAAGCTGGCATTTAAATACTTGGTCCCCAGCTCGTGATGCTGTTTGGAGTATGGCCTTGCTAGGAAGAGTATGTGTTGGTGTGAGTAGGAATGGCCCCCATACACTCATGTGTGCCAATATTGGTCACTAGGGAGTGACACTATTAGGAGATGTGGCCTTGCTCAAGTAGGTGTAGCTTTGTTGGAGGAAGTGCGTCACTGGTGGCAGGCTTGGAGGTCTCAGAAGTTCGTGCCAGGCCTAGTGTGTCTCATTCTCTTCCCGCTGCCTGTGGATCCAGATGTAGAACTCTCAGCTACCTCTCCAGGACCATGCCTACCTGCATTCCGCCATGTTCCTCGCCACAATGATAATGGACTAAACCTTTGAACTATAGGCCAGTCCCAATTAAATGTTTTCCTTTATAAGAGTTACCATGGTCACGATGTCTCTTTACAGCACTAGAACCCAAACTAAGACAGAATCCATCGGCTGGGACAGACACTGGGGGCTTCAAAGCTTTGAGACATCTCTAGTTCATTCTCTCTGCTTTGTAACTGGAGTTTAAGATTCGAGAGCTTAGCTCGCGGCTCCAGCCACTATGCCTGCCTGTTGCCGGGTCTGTCCACTTTGATGGTGATGGACTTTTATCCTTCTAGAACCACAAGCCCAAATAAACCCTTCCTTCTGTAAGTTGCCTCAGTCACGGCATTTTATCACAATACAAAAGCAACCGATACAATAGGTCAGGATTTATTTGATGCCTTTTTTCCAAAAAAAAAAAAAGTTGGAAGTGGCAATCCAATGGCAGATCCTGGCCAGAGCGATTCAAGTGTCCCTTATGACCTACAAAATGCTGTGTCACTCAGTACCTGAAATTCAACACCTTACCTCCTCCCTCCACCTGGGAGGAAATCTTCAGCTTTCTAGGTTGTCCAGGGCACGGTACTGAGTGACAGAAGGAAGCTATGGGTATGGGAAGCATCTATTTGGTTGGAAGAACTGATGACTGGTCTGAGGTGAGGAGACATTCTGAATCAAAAACATATTCTATCCCACAGTCTCCAAAATGAATGAAGAGAAATAGGCTAATTAACATCAATATCTGTCTTAGCCACTGTTCTATTTCTGTGAAGAAACACCATGGCCAAGGCACTCTTAGAAAGCATTAAATTGGGAGCATGCTTACAGGTGCAGAGGTTTCCCCCATCATTATCACCGCAGGGAGCATGGGGGCTCACAGGCTCTGGAACAGTGGCTGAGAGCTGATCCATAGGCAGAGAGATGGGGGGTGGGGGGGAGAGAGACAGAGACAGAGAGACAGAGAGAAGAGAGAGACAGAGAGACAGAGAGAGAGACTGAGCCTGGCATGGGCTTTTGAAACCTTAAAGGCCATCCTCCTCGATACACACTTCCTCCAACAAGGCCATACCTCCTAACCCTTCTAATCCTATCAGAGTTCCACTCCCTGGTAGTGACTAGTCATTCAAATATATGAATGGAGCCATTCTTATTCAAACTACCACAGCATCTGGTGAGATTAGCAGACATTTTGTAGATAATAGTTGTTTTAACCTGCATAGTATTAGATTGTTGAGTTTTCTTTAATTTGCCAACAAACAATATGAAGAAAGTAAGCTAAGTTCCAGGAATATAAAGGTGAAAGGTGACACTCAGTGCCTTTTCCACAGGGATGGTCATAATCTAATGATGAAGAGAGCCACTAACCAGATAACAACTAAAACATAATTAGAAGACCTGACCATAACCAATAATGGCTTGTAAATCATGTGTTTTAGAACTTTAGTGTTTGAAAATACCTTGTATTCAATTGAAGCAAAACTAAAAATCCATTAGCAGCTTAAAAATGAGAAAAGATGGGCTCAGCAGTCAAGGGCATCTGCTTTTGCAAGGGACCAGGGTTTAGTTTCCAGGACCCACACTGTAGCTTAAAAACCATCCCTAATTCTAATTCCAAGGGATCCAACACCCTCTTCTGGCTTCTTCTGGCACCAGGGATGCATGTATATACATACAGGCTAAACACTCATACAGAAAATAAAATAATAAATCTTTACCAAAATAGTTAGAGAAGAGGCAGCAAGGCATGGTAACTCATGTCTCTAATCCTAGCATTCTGGAAGCTGAGGCAGGAGGATTGTGAGTTTCAAGTCAGCCTAGAATACAGGCCAGGCTATATAGCAAGTCTTTTATTCAAATGGTTCACGTTTGTGATCTCAGCACCCAGGAGGCTGAAAAGGAGGATTATATCCAGTATTATTTAAAATGAATACATAATTCATATATATATATATATATACATATACATCTATATATACATATATATCTATATTATATATATAGTGAATCACAAATGCAAAACAAATGTCCCACTTAGGAAAATAGTAAAAATATAATATACCTAGGTAGGAAGTTAACACAAGATACATAATACTTTGCTAAAGAAAAGTTGAGAACACTAATGAGCAACAAAAAAAAAAGATAATTTGCACAAAATTAATTTGGACAAATGGAAAGGCAAAGATATTCTTTGAGAGCATGATGATTCTGAGTAAATTAACCTATGTATTTAATTCAATCATTTCTTCCAAATATTACCAGAAAGTGAACCTAGAGCTTATGCAAAAAACTAAGTAAGAATGACCAGGAAAACGTTAAAGTAAACAACAAAGGCTTAGCTGTAGAATGTATTAAAATAGATTATAAGACTGTAGGGGGCTAGGGATGTAGCTCAGCTGGTAAATTGCTTGTTTTTTTAGCATGCATGAAGCCCTGTGTGCGAACCTTAGTTTCTTATAAACTGGCTGGCCATAGTGCTGTACACCTGTAATCTGAGCACTCAGGAGGTGGAGGCAGGAGGACTAAAGTTCTAAATCATCTGTTCATGGTGAGTTTGAGGCCAACATGGGATACATGAGACCCTGTCTCATACAAAAGGAGGTATGGGGAAAATGAGATATTGGTATGCCAAGGGGTGCTTTTATACCACCATCTCACAATGAAAAGGAAAATTAAAGGTTTTTTAATTGTCACTATTATTTATTTATTTATTTATTTATTTATTTATTTATTTATTTATTTATTTATTTATTTTGTGATACTGGAAATTGAATTTGTGGCCTTACATATCATAGACAAGAACTTTATCTCTGAGCATACCCCCATCCCTAAAGCTACAATTTTTAGCTCAATGCTATATATTAATGGCAGAGTAATGAATTAGTCATTCGATAAAGCATTCTAAGCTTGGACCCAAGTACATATGGATTTTCGCAAATAATAGCAGTAACAGAGGGATGCAGTCATCGAAATACAGTTAGGAGAGTGGTAAGCTGCCTACATCCTACCCAAGGCAAAGGCTCTGACCGTCTGCCACCAGCAATGTTGTTGGCCATGAACTCCTGCTTAGCCCCATCTGAGGAATGGCTGTCAGCCAAAGAGAGATGAGTCACCCCAAATTAACACTTAGGGCAGTTCACATCCAGTGACTAGCTGATGCCAGGGTACACCTGCCCGTGCCCTCTCCTACCATTGAAGAAAAACTCTAAAGAGCTATTCTTGGTCCAGAGTTCACAGAACTGGGCAAAGCTTTGCTGCCAGTTCATCTCAGTCCACCTTTGCCAAGGTGTGGATTCTTCCTATGGTCACATCTCCATCTCAGAACCAGTCAGGAAACCTGACCTTGAAAGTACCTTCCTTCTTTTGTTGGGTCCCCTGTATTCTACTAGAACACATTTAAATATGAAATGCTCTTTTAAAAAATTGAAACTCGCCAGGCAGGTGGTGGTGGTGGTGCACATCTTAAATCCCAGCACTTGGGAGGCAGAGGCAAGAAAATCTCTGAGTTTGAGGCCAGCCTGGTTCAGGAAAGCTAGGAGTACACAGAGAAACCCTGTCTGAAAAAGAAAAAGAAAGAGAGAGAGAGACAGAGAGAGAGAGAGAAGAGGAGAGGAGAGGAGAGGAGAGGAAAGGAAAAGAAAAGAAATGAAAAGAAAAGAAAAGAGAAAAGAAAAGAAAAGAAAAGAAAAGAAAAGAAAAGAAAAGAAAAGAAAAGAAAAGAAAAGAAAA